GGCGTGGAGAGAGGCAGGTGCCTCTGAAGTCAGCAGCATTATGTAGCTATTCATTCAGGTAGTTTAGCCAAGGAGATTGAGTTCCTCTTTGGGTGAGGTCTCTCTCTCTCTCTCCAGGATATTCCCCTTTGGTGGGCTGTTGAGGATTGTGATTGGAATGTCTTGGAGAGTCACTATTGTGTCCAGATTTAGGTCTTTAAGAGATTGTATGAGCCCACACACACACATACACACTCATACACACACACACACACACATACACACACATACACACTCATACACACACACACACACACACACACACACACACACACACACACACACACACACACACACACACACACACACACACATGAGCCACAGAGATATTAGAAAGAACTTTTTTTAGTGTCAGAGTAGTTGACAAATGGAATGCATTAGGAAGTGATGTGGTGGAGGCTGACTCCATACACAGTTTCAAGTGTAGATATGACAGAGCCCAATAGGCTCAGGAATCTGTACACCTGTTGATTGACGGTTGAGAGGCTGGACCAAAGAGCCAGAGCTCAACCCCCGCAAACACAACTAGGTGAGTACAACTAGGTGAGTACACACACACACACACACACACACACACACACACACACACACACACACACACACACACACACACACACACACACACACACATTGATAATGTGGTGAAACACGAAAACATTCAGAATTTTCGTTTCACTCTTCCTCTGAAGATACGTACTCATAGCTGAATCACATGTTTTTTGTTTCTGTTTATTCATTCATTCATGAAAATAAATAAATATATAAATATATATATATGCGAACAAGCCTGAATGGTCCCCAGGACTATATGCAACTGAAAACTCACACCCCAGAAGTGACTCGAACCCATACTGCCAGGAGCACTCTGCTGGCGTACAGGATCCCTTGACCGCTCAGCCTACCTTGCCCCTCCAACGTGTGTACAGACTAAAGGTTAAGTGTTTATTGGCAAGCACCAAAGTGGCGCCCCTTGCAGGGCGGCTCCGAAGTTCACGAATCAAAGGAAATGGGAACAAAAGCGCAGCGGAAAATGCAAGGATATTTTTCGAGCGTGTCCCCCTGTAAGATTGACTCGCTGCCACTACCAGCGTTTGGAGGCGGAGGGACCGGTGAGGGAACTATAGCACCTGATGACAAAAGATTGCTGTGGTATGTAGAGAGAAAGAGTAGGGTGAACGGGTAAAGAAAATAGCTGAGAAAGAGACGAAGGGTTGAACGGGAAAAGAAAGAGGCTGAGAGAAAGAGAGAACAGGTAAAGGGTTGGATGATTGTCTTGTTCTCTGGCGTCATCCTTAATGGATGAACTTGAGTTGGGTGGGATCAGTGACCTGGATGTCTTGACTGCTGACATCCGTCTGGGTAGGATTCGTCCCAAACTAGCTGGAGAACTTCCTAACAGGCTGCTAGACGTCATCACGCTAGACACATTACAAGTGATACAGCATCTCTATATGACTAGAAATAGTTTGGGAATAGCTAACGCCCCAGTGCCCATATCTTTCACGTCATTGGCACAATTTACAGTGCAGTCAGTAGAGTGATGCCTTTGAAAGTGTCTTAGTTTGTTCAGGTGTACCATCATAACATGTTTTCTATTTCAACAATTCTCACTTTGTTACGTCTCCCAATTTTTACAACACAATATGCAGACCATCGGACTTGTGAGACACAGAGTTCCCCTAAAGAGGTTTCTACACAAGAACCAGATCCAAGGGGCTCAAACGTCCTTAGCTTACTCTTGAAGTGGTTGTAACGCTCCTCCTTCGTGGCCCTCTGGGTCTCCCTTGCCTGTTTTCAAGCCTTGCTGACACGCAGCCTCCTTTTAACATCGTACAGATATTGACCTCCGGCCAAACAAAATTACATTACCCAACAACTTTCTCCGAAACATCTTCACGGGGGTCCCCGGACCTAGTACACGAACACAAGTTGGAATAGAGAACAGCCTAAAGAATTCTTAAGCCACTTCTGGGCTCCAAACAACACAAAAGGAAGTTTTTCATCGCAGTCCTGATCAGAAAACTCACCAGTTGCTTTCAGCATCTGTTTGGGAGTCTGGTGATCTTGGTTCTGGTGCAACTAACAACTCGAAACCTTGTACTCAATTCCAGGAGTACGATAAAACTTGTCAGAGGTGTTAGACTTAAAATTGCTCCCGCTCTCCATTTGGATTACTTTTGGCAAACCAAACGCCAAAAAGAACCTAACCAGATGCAAAATAAAAGTTCCAGCTCTAATATTTCCTTCAGAATACCCTCCCGGAAATCTGGTGGTTAAATACACCAAAAAATCAAATAAATTTTAACACACTTTGTCCTGGGTTGCAGTCCCCTGCAGTCCTAGACAATAAGGTGAAAATGGTTCCTTTAGAATAATGGTTTATAATGGAGCTCTAGTCACAGTCTAGTTTGACCTTCCTGATAATACACTGCACACACGCTACAATATCTGGTCATATCCTTTTTCATTTTTGGAAAATACAGTGTAGCACATCTTATGAATTTTGTGACTCCTTGCTGCCCTTCCTCAAGATCATAATGGCCGGCTTGGAGAACTCTGTCCCAGTTGCTAATATGAAGGACAAGCCGATGTATTACATCATAGTCATCTGACACGGGTCTACATTTTAATTTTTATCAAATTTGTTTTTGTTCTGACCATTTATGACTAGTTATATTCTTTGCTCTCTTTATTCAGAGCAGACCTTTAGCGAAACATATAAAAGGCTGTAGTAGAAAAAAAAGGCTGACGAGAAAAATCAAGTCATGTATACAGCGATAGCAGGCGGCTTGATATCTGCGAGGCACTACACATTAAGAAGTCGAAACCAGCAATCAACAGCCAATTAATGCACAACTATATTATCAGAAGGTGATCTTCGCAATAATACCTAACCGTCTCCTGGAGGGCGTCCTCTGACGAGACAGCCTCCTCACAACACTCTGTAAGACTGGTTCATCTTGCACTGAAGATGCAAGGAGGTTCGGATTCTGGAGGACTCTGTTGAGTAACCTGAACAATGACCTCCTCACCTTCACTCCTCTCAGTGTATGGTAGAGGCGGGGGGAGTCTCTGCTACTGGCTCAGATTCATTATCCAAGTCGATTATAATGTCTTCAAGCGATCCCCCTTCCTTATACTCCTCCGGAGAGGCTCTGGTCTTTGGGGCATCTCAAATTTACCACCTATATCCCCTGCCTTCCACAGCGAAGGTAGGGGTTACGACAACATTCTTTGCGTCGATTCATGCCAGTACGACCTTACTGTAGGCTCAGACAACATAATACGATTTTCCGTCCCGAGTATCTCGTCACCAGCTAAATTATTACCCAGAATAACTTCAACACCTGGGAAAGGTAACTGTGCACTGACTCCTCCAGTACAGATGCAATGGATGAATTTAGGATGTAAAGTTATCCGAGTCAGTGGTACCTGTTTCACCGGTCCTGGAATCCCTTGAATTAACATAACTTCTCCTGTGTTTACGGTGTGTTCATCAAGTAGTGCAAAATCTGGAATGAGAGCATGAAACCCCCAGTGTCACGTATAATCAGAACTGGCTTCCTGACTCTACCATTGCAAAACATTTGTCCTGAGGACTTAACTGGTTTTAAATCAGTGATCCACTGAGGCTTGATTGCAACAATCTCAGAAGAATTTAGAGTTTACAACTCTAAACTCTTCTAAAATTGTTTGACACCGAAGCATTTGGCCCTTTCTCAGAGTGCACTTACCATCAAGAAATAATTACATGACCCCCGTCAATTACAAAGAGTTCTACACTTATTTTAGGTAGACCAACTAAAAAGTTGTCATGTGTTTAACATTTCAGTGGACATAGATATAGTGTTAAACAATCTATTTTTTCCTCTGTGTACCCGACCGGCGAGGAGCCGGTCGGCCGAGCGGACAGCACGCGGGACTTGTGATCCTGTGGTCCTGGGTTCGATCCCAGGCGCCGGCGAGAAACAATGGGCAGAGTTTCTTTCACCCTATGCCCCTGTTACCTAGCAGTAAAATAGGTACCTGGGTGTTAGTCAGCTGTCACGGGCTGCTTCCTGGGGGTGGAGGCCTGGTCGAGGACCGGGCCGCGGGGACACTAAAGCCCCGAAATCATCTCAAGATAACCTCAAGATAACCTATTCCGTGTACCTAAAAGCTCTTCGAATTGTTAGTCCTGAGTTCTTAGGTTAAGAATATGAAAATATGTATTCTAAAGATTTCAAGCTTTGCGATACAGTAATTTTCTTGTGAGTTTGAGAGCAAAACTCAACGTACACATTATGACAAAATCAGCATTGAGAAAATTCGCCCAAAAATGTGATATGCTTACTATACTTTTCTGGGTTCGAAAATATTGTCAAGACCTTGAAACTTTTCGAAGTACATGAGGTGTTTAATTATGAAAATATTCTTGAAAAATTATTAGTTAGAAACAGACCTCGTAACGATAACTTTGTTACTTACAAAATATCTTGTAAATTATAGTAATATATTCTATATAGGTCAAACATCTTATAAAATCAAATTTCGAATTTTGCAACATCAATACTCTTTAAAAAGTGGTAAATTATCTAACGTTTTATTTGTTCATTTGTAAAGAAATTCTCACCAAACTAACTTGAATGGGTCTTCTTCAGTAACAAATTGTAAAATATTCATTTTCAATAGAAACATTTTTTAATCTGCTTTAATACACATTACAGAACCATGCAACATAAATATCAATAATGGTTTGTACAATTTGGATCCATTTTTAATTGATCAGTTCAAAACGATCTTAGTAAGATAATACACATAATATTACAAATAACAACACAACACCCACAATCACCCCACAACCACGCCACAGTTGTGACACGCCCCCACGAATAATACAACCCCATACAACTACCACCCAACAACTGTAGTTGTTGGGTAATAGTTGTACGCGCTTAACACACAACACCATCCACCCTACAATGCCAACACCATCCTCCTCCTCCTCCTCCTCCTCTCCCCCAACAACCGACAACGCCGACACCAGCCCCGACAACGCCGACACCAGCCCCGACAACGCCGACACCAGCCCCGACAACGCCGACACCAGCCCCGACAACGCTGACACCAGCCCCGACAACGCCGACACCAGCCCCGACAACGCCGACACCAGCCCCGACAACGCCGACACCAGCCCCGACAACGCCGACACCAGCCCCGACAACGCCGACACCAGCCCCGACAACGCCGACACCAGCCCCGACAACGCCGACACCAGCCCCGACAACGCCGACATCAGCCCCGACAGCACCGACACCAGCCCCGACAACGCCGACACCACCCCCGACAACGCCGACACCAGCCCCGACAACGCCGACACCAGCCCCGACAACGCCGACACCAGCCCCGACAACGCCGACACCAGCCCTGACAACGCCGACACCACCCCCGACAACTCCGACACCACCAGGACCATCCACCAGAACCTCTGCCGCCTCACTCGACTTTCCTGTTCCAATTAAATAATTTGGTCAGGCATAGAAACCAGGTTATCTTTGTTGACAGTTCCTGACGTCATAGATGTGTGTACTCTCCTACATGTACTACCATATATGTACTCACCTAGATGTTCTAGCATATATGTACTCACCTAGATGTACTAGCATATATGTACTCACCTAGATGTACTCCTATATGTATTCAACAAGATGAACTCGCCTAGATGTTCTAGCATATATGTACTCACCTAGATGTACTAGCATATATGTACTCACCTAGATGTACTCCTATATGTATTCAACAAGATGAACTCGCCTAGATAATTCCCATATACTTATCTAGATGTACTCTCATATATTTATGTACTTTCTTAGTACGTACTTTCTTATGTACTTTCTTTATGTACTTTCTTTCTTTCTTCTTTCTTTCTTATTTTCTTTCTTCTTTTTCCATTCACTTAGATGTACTCCCTAAATGTACTTTCCCTAGAAGTACTCACCTAGATGTGCTTACAGTGACAAGCTCAACTTCTAGTCCCACTTCCCAAACATGTTTACTTCAGTTCAGTGACTCAATTTCCACGTCACTTTGTTTTCCACTTTATTTTCCAATGATTCACTGAATTATGCTCTAACCGCCAGCTCGTTTGAACCATCCACAAGAGTAGAGAAAACCCCCCATGAGAGGCGCTCTTGTGCTTCCCCCTACCCAGCGACTCACCACTCTCATCTGTATGTCTGTCCTTCGCTTGAAACACTCCAGTTATCCCGCATCTGATATATTTATATGTTGCCAGATAATGTGTATCGATCGAAGCGTGTTAAATTATTTTGTATTTATTTATAAATATTATTTCTAATACTTCAGCAATCATGTGAAGAAAATCAACATTAGTGTTGCTGTGAGCCTTATCTGCAGAGCACTGCGAATCTGTAGATTACAGATTCCTTAGTAACATAGGGCGGTGAAACTCATTAAAATACTGAGTAGAAATACAGCAAAATAATGTATTGTTATAGATTGCATGTGGGGAAGTAAGGGATCGGAGGGAAATGGGTTATGTTACTGTAAGAAAACCCCTTAAATATGTTGACCAGACCACACACTCACAATCGACTTGAGAATGGTCCAGGACGGACCGAAACGTCGTCGTCCCTTCAATTTCTAGTGTGTGGTCTGGTCAACATACTTCAGCCACGTTATTGTGACTCATCGCCTGCAACCCCTTAAATGTTGGTTTAAGGGGTTGGATCATTATCAGCACTATGTGACCTGTGATTACAGGGAACTATCTGCTTAAAAAGCTAAATACGCCACGTAGTTGAAATGATACAGGGAAGTACAGGGACAATACAGTACATCTTAGAACAGCAATGGACTCCATAGACTTTTCTTTTGAGAGATAAACACCAAAATAACTTCCAACGCAAAAATCATTAAGGCAAACTCATTAAGGAATCAGTGTTAGTTGGGAGGGGTCAAAGCTAACTGTTTAAGGTATGTTGAATATAAGAAGCTGGGGGAAGATAGTGACAATACGGATTGTTGCCACTGAGGTCAAAGAGACACTGATAAAGAGACACACCAGAAGGTATCTGATGGTGAATTGTAGAGGTGGAACCTGATGGTGAATTGTAGAGGTGGAACCTGATGGTGAATTGTAGAGGTGGAACCTGATGGTGAATTGTAGAGGTGGAGAAACGATGGGGATGTGTGACGGCTGGTGGAGACCACTGTTGTTGATAGTGTGTGAACTCTCCACTTTAAGGACAAAGAATCCTGGATATGTGCTCGGTGTTAGTATATACTCGTGTTTAGAATTATTGGAATATCTCTCTCTCTCTCTCTCTCTCTCTCTCTCTCTCTCTCTCTCTCTCTCTCTCTCTCTCTCTCTCTCTCTCTCTCTCTCTCTCTCTCTCTCTCTCTCTCTCTCTCTCTCTCTCTCCTTCTTTCTTTTACGAACCACAGAAAATTGCTGAAATCTTTATGGGAAAAAAAATTCCAGATATCAGACTAAATGAAAATCACAAAGGATTGCAATGATACCGATATTTCTTATCTGCTACATTGGGTCTGACCTCACCCCCCGCCCCTATTAGTCAGTGACGCTCACATACGCCAAGAGGGGGGGGAATAAATGCCCCCCCCCCTCTACTCTGAACAGATAGATAAACAAAGATATTGGCATTTTATTTGATAGATTTAGATTTAATAATAATATAGTACTATCTTGGTAAGCTATTTCATTATAATTTATCTCATTCTGATCTTTGTGTGCATTCTCTTTTTTCAAGAATAATACAATTATTTTCTCGACAGTTTTTTGAAATTATCAAATTTTATGTAGAGATATTTTTTGACACAAAACCCGGTTATCCTTCTCTTTCCTAGTGAAAAACGTCCCCTGACCTCGATCAGGCCTTTTTTCCGAGGAGGCCTGGTCGAGGACCGGACCACGGGGACGTTGAGCCCCGAAATCATCGCAAGGTAGTGAGCCTTAAGCGTCATTTCTTGAAGTCCGGGTCTGGAACATCTTGCAACATTGTGAGGTAATTGATGAAGCGGCGTGAGAGAAGAAGAGAAGCAAATTTGTAGATTGACTGAAGCGCAGATCAGGAAAACTGATCAGATGAACTGTATTCTGTTTTGCTGAAAACAAAATAAAACACTAATTCAAAACAAAATTCGTGATTTCCTCTGAACACAAATTCAAAACAAAATTCGTGATTTCCTCTGAACACAAATTCAAAACAAAATTCGTGATGTCCTCTGAATGGCATCGCGAATTTTGGCAGAAGGGGAGCGGATATGAGTGAAATGTTTTAGATAGAAGAGAACATTATCTTCTCAAGAACTGAAGTCATCGAGAAGTGAAATATTTGTTCGAACCTGAAGTGAATGGTCTATAAGGATGACCAGACCTCACACACCAGAAGATGCAGAGACGACGACGTTTCGGTCCATCCTGGATCGTTATCAAGTCGATTGTGGATCATATCTTCAGCCACATTATTGTGACTCATCGTCCGAATATGAATTGCCGGGAGTACTCTTGACAATCACCGTCAAGAGTACTTGACTCTTGACAATCTTGACAAGTACTCTATTGGCAGCACTCTTGACAATCACCGTCGTGCGAGGTTTTTTCAGGGCAGATCGATTGTGACCGTGATGACCAAATATATTGAAAGAAATTTGAAGCTTGAGTTTACGAGTTATCGATAAAAAAAAGCTGATAATCGAGCAGATGAGCATGTACAAGGTATAAAATTTATTGATGATTGATAAGAAAAGCGTATATGACCAAGAGAAAGGAAGATAGAATACGTGAGCATAAAGACAGTGGAACACCAGTGAAGGGATTGGAGAATAAAACTTCTCCATACTCTGCTAAAGTTTAAAGAATATTGCAGAGCTTTATCAAAATATTGACCATAATCAAGAAGCAAAGTAGACCATACGTGATATAGATACATCCCTTCACCCCTATTGGACAGGGGCGTAGATTAGTATAAGCAGGATAGGCACTATCATGTTTATACTGATCCTCACAGAGTAGATTACAGTACAAGAGCTGCTTAATGCGCTTTTCATCAAAAACTACTGATATAGTTGAAATTGTGAAATTTGAAATTGTGAAATTGGTTGTGAAATTTTGCCCAAGTGGCCCCCCCCCCCCCCACCTTCAATTAACAATTTAGAAAAATCAATCCAATTACTCTTGTATATCTCTGAGTACTCCAGAAGTTTCTATGTATAAATGGTTTTATATATACATATTTACAGAGAGCAATTAAGATAAAGGACTATATACTTGTCACAAAAAAGAGTCTCCCTCATCCCTCATTCCCTCACCCCCTCATTCCCCCCCCCCTAACCCTCTCATGAAGTGAGTAATTGCTCAGGGATCAAAGTGAACTCTGTTCGTCAAGTGGTAATTGCTTAAAAAAAAAAATAACAGGAAATGAAAAATTAATATACCGAAAAGTTCAGACAATTTTTTTTTTCACTTTCCAGGGTGGACATTTAATGTTTGTCATGGCTTGATATTTAGTCAACTCAAATTAACCAGTAATTTATGAATAATTTGTAGCTCTCGTTTTATATATATATAAGCTGCATCACCGACTCCCTTGTAATGGTAGACATTTGCTTGCTGTCAACAGAAGCAGAACTGCAGGTTTTCTTTCTAAGTGAAAACAATATTGACTTGGCTATAAGTAGCTGGTTGTGGGAAATCGGAAACTCTAGTAGCCGTACGTAAATACGTACGTAAATACGTGGGGGAGCCGGTCGGCCGAGTGGACAGCACACTGGATTTGTGATCCTGCGGTCCTGGGTTCGATCCCAGGCGCCGGCGAGAAACAATGGGCAAAGTTTCTTTCACTCTATGCCCCTGTTACCTAGCAGTAAAATAGGTACCTGGGTGTTAGTCAGCTGTCTCGGGCTGTTTCCTGGGGGTGGAGGCCTGGTCGAGGACCGAGCTGCGGGGACACTAAAGCCCCGAAATCATCTCAAGATAACCTCAAGTACAGTATATCAGCTCTTCGTCCACACACTGATAATAGTACTAAAACCGACTATTACGCTTCTGTATAGGATCATTTAACATAATTTTGTTGCACCTTGGACCACTCTTCAGTGCCCGGCTGCACGAAAATGATAGAAATCTGACAGAAATGGCCATTAATATATCAAACAATTACGAATACAATTAGTAAATACGTTTATTGCTTTTTTCGTTTGGTCTTCTTTGTTAATTATTTGCCATAAATATTTTATTAGTTCTAGTGGTTTACTGAGTAATTATATGTATTGATCATGTGTGTGTTGTTGAAGATCTTTGAATAATACAACAAAAAATGCAATTTGTAATATTTAGAGAGGTTAAAACTGACCTGTAATTGACCCATTTTGACCCCTGCCTGAACAAAAAAAAATTATTCAAAAATCAGAGGACAAATTTTACTAGTCAATCAAAAATCTAAAAGGTTATATGACCGCTCGAAAGAATAAAGGGTTA